GTTGAGCAGTTACGCTGCCCTCTTCCTTTGGTCTTACCTGACTGTCTGCAGCTAGCTCAGTGGTGGCGGCGGGGGGCACAGGGGAGGGCTGTGAACTTCAATACGTGGCATGTCCCAAGAAGTCACCTTGATGTTGATGAACTTGATCCCTTTGATGGCGAAATCTGACATCATAAAATGAGTATCTGTGATGTCTGAACAATGTGCTGGCACGTTTCATCTCGTTTTGCAAATAAACCTTCCTAGAACATAAGTGTGGAAGCACAGCTGAATTGGGTGCTTTGGCTTCACGTGTAAACATGGCAGTGCTTCACAAAGATCCCTCCCATGCACATGTGCCTTGCCATTTTAGCATGTGCTTCTCCAGGAGAGAAATCCCTTCTCTGGGGAAGGGGCTGTGTTAGACACCTTAACCTGAGGGGTTCATTGGAAAGCCCTATAAGCTACATGGATCAGTATTCACCCAGCTGAATTCCTTTGTCTTTTTTTTTTTTTTTTTGGGACAGGGTCTCACTCTGTTGCCCAGGCTGGAGTACAGTGGCACAATCTCAGCTCACTGCAACCTCCACCTCCGGGGTTCAAGTGATCCTCCTGCCTCAGCCTCCCAAGTAGCTGGGATTATAGGCACTCGCCACCACGCCCAGTTAATTTTTGTATTTTTAGTAGAGACAGGGTTTCACCATGTTGGTCTGACTGGTCTTAAACTCCTGACCTTGTGATCCACCCACCTTGGCCTCCCAAAGTGCTGGGATTACAGGTGTGAGCCACCAAGCCCAGCCAGGAATTCCTTTGTCTTAAAAAAAATTATTTTTAATTAAAAAATAGGTATGTTTATTAAAGGAAAAATTAGCCTACAGTCTATAGTCATGCCACCTGGAACATGTCTGATCTCGTCTGATCTCAGAGGCTAAGCAGGATCAGGCCTGGTTAGTGCTTGCATGAGAGAAAACTTAGAAAACTTACAAAAGGAGAAAGGAGATAAAAATTACCTATGATTCTACCATCTAAACACAGCTACCCCTGTTAACAGTTTGATATGTTCTCAATAGGATTTCCTTCCTACGGAAGGGTTATTTTGCCTTTTACATGGCTGTAACTGTAATATATCTACAATTCTGTGCACTGGTTTCAGATTTAACATTAAATAGTAAGTGAATAGTAAATATCACTTGTTAATGGCCGCATAGTATGTCCTTAAGTTCCTGTGTACTTGGCACTTGGGAGACTTGAGCCCCAGGACTCAGTAACAGCTGAAGGTCACACAGCCAGACCCAGCCCATGTCTCCCACCTCCCAGGTGAACACTCATTACATTCACTGGATCTCAGTCTGTACCTGCTTTTGTCCCCACGCGCGGGGTGTGTACCTCTGCCAGTTGCCTCCTCCTTACATTATTGTGTTTAACACCCTCTTCCACTTCCAGTGAGGACCTCTACACCACCCGCTGCAGGACACGTCCCTGGCATGGAGGCCAGATCGTCCCATCCATCACTGCACCCGAAGAGACCCATAGTATCATAATAAATAACAGTATTCCTGGGAGCCAGGTGTGCCTCATGCTTCTCCCAACCCAACTTCCACCTCTTGCCTTAATACTAGCTTCAGAGTAAAAGAAAGGATTACCCTTCTCAAATCCTATTGAAAACATACCTGGCATGGTGGCTCATGCCTATAATCCCAGCACTTTGGGAGGCCGAGGCGGGCAGATCACCTGAGGTCAGGAGTTTGAGACCAGACTGGCCAACATGGTGAAACCCTATTTCTACTAAAGATATAAAAATTAGCCGGATGCCCACAATCCCAGCTACTGGGGAGGCCGAGGCAGGAGAATCGCTTGAAC